CATCCCAAATGCACTTCTTACAATGTGACTTTGACACCCCTCCCATTGTGAGGTGGGGGTCTCTATCCTCTCCCCATGAAACTGAGTGGGCTTAGTGAATGTTTTGGTCAAAAGAATATGGTAGAAGTGACACTATGTGACTTTCAAATTAGGCCATAAAAAGTGATACAGCTTACACTTGTTCCGTGGAATTCTCACGTTTGAAATCTTCAACCATATGCAGCCTGACTGCTCTCAGGCAGCCCTGTTGTGAGAAAGTCCAAACTAGCCCACAGAGAGACACCATGTAGAGAAGTCATGACACTTCTTTGGAGAGATTCCTAGCTAGTTCCCAACTGCCTTGACGCCCATTTTTCCAGTTTTAGCTGCATCTGACTGCAATGGGATGACAGATTCTGAGCCAGACTCAGGCTTTCCAATTGAGTCATTTCAAAATTCCTGCCCCACAGAAACTGTGAGAGATAGGAAAGTGAAGGCTGTTATTTTAAACCTCTAAAATTTGTTTTGCAGAGCAAGTTGAAGTTGAAGCCTAAGTTGATCCCATCATTAGGAATTTGAATCCTAACTGCCTTCTCAGGGAAATGAGCCGAATTGATACAAAGACTCTTAGAAAGGTTCAGCAATAGGAAGGACCAATCTCAGAAGGCAGGAGAAGGCATGCAATTGAAAACAGGAATAAATTGCAAGTTTTTAGTGAGAATCCCAGGCTCCAAGTCCTACCTGAGCCATCAGGTATTCCCAAGAACCAGGAGTACTCACCGCAGGAAGGGTAAGGTTTACTTTCTGGACCAAATAAATGGAGAAGCCTCCAGAGAAACAAAAGAGAGACAGCTGAAAGGTAAAGAACCCTGGCTAGTGAGAAAGGACACCAGGGATTTAAGCTCTTACACTGTGATTACATGTCCTTGTCCAATCATTTTTTCATTTAAAGAAAAGGTTAGACCAGAGTAATCTCTAAAGTAGATTTCCACAGTAAAAATCAGTGATTCTATTAAAAAGAAAACACACCCTTTAAAACATTGCTAGTTTAAGTAGTGAGCCACAATACTAAGTATTTTTTTAGTCAATGGAAATTCTAGTTTGCTTCTTCTTTTTTTGTTTTTTTTTGTTTTTTGTTTTTGTTTTTTTAGCTGAGCCATCCTGCTACCTGTTGGCAGCTCAGCGGCTGCTCAGCTCGGGCTGGACTCGAACCGCTGTTGCTCAGAGCTCAAACTCTTGAGCGAGCTCTTAACCAACTGAGCCACTCGGCCGGCCCTAGTTTGCTTCTTATAACACGTAATTCTTTTAAAAATAGCATTAGAGGTTATAACAGGAAACCTCCAGTTAAAGTAGTTTAATGTTTCTTCCTCCCCCCACCAATTAAAAGGATGTGGGCCAAGGTATAGGGAACTGAAGGGATATGCATGAATCTAGGACTATAAAGCTGTTATAATTCCTAGATCCAAAGCAACAAGAGGAGGAAGAGGTTCCCAGAACATGGAAGAGTGAGTCACGGAGAGCAGGCCACTTGAAGAGGAGTAGTAACTTCCCAGGAAGGCAACAGACAGCCCCAGGTAATGCTTTAGGGAGAAAGCTGGGGGAATAAATATACTGACCTCATCCTCTTCCCATCCTGCAGTTTCCTGTTGGTGCTTCCTCACCACTGGCCAAACTCAGTTGGAAGGCTGAGAGCACTGACCCCATCGATGTACTCCTGCCCTTAGACTCCCTGAAGGAGAGCAGGTAGAGAATGGCTCTGGAGGAGTAAAAGGAAGACAGTTAGCATAGAGGTGTGGATGAAAAGATGGTAATCATAGCTGCAGAGAGCCAATTGAGATTCACTTTTTAAATATATATGAAAATTCTTGACTTTAGGACATTAGTTGAGAAAACTGGAGATATTCTGGATGTGTTAAGATTCTAGAATAATTCATTCTACAATCAATCTTTTATCTTTCTATTTTGCCTCTTTTGACTTGAACAAATATTGAATCATGACTGATGGACTAAATTTTAGTATTTGCTTTTCATCCATGTAAATAATTTATTTTTTCTTTGTTCACATCCGAGTAATTACACATCTGGTAATAAGGTATGGTATGTCAAAACTGTCTGATATTGTGTTTTTTGTCGGAGAACTTCTATCTTGTTTTTACAACTCGGAAACTTCCTAAGCAGACAGTAACAGCATTGTATGGAAAGAGAGTAAACCTTAATTACAATATGTACTGTGTGGAGAAACACAGAAAGATGTATTTTGTTACATATAGAATGACTATTTGCAATTACTTATTTATATTTTAAGTAACTTACTACACACATGAGCTTATGTCTCCAGATGTAATTAATTTGGTCTGTACAGGACAAATACGCCTTTTCTGAGTCTCACATCTCTAAGCTCTGACCTAACAATCCTTTGGGATCTATAGTGACTAAATTAACACAGATCCTATACAGTCCCACTAGATACCTAATTTTGACAGTGGTTTCCTGACTCTCCTTCAAAGGGTTTTCCCTTAAAGACCCACCACATACTGAGAAGGATAAATTGCCACATGGGAGTGAGTACAGGAGGTCTTGACTAGTTCCTCTTTTAGAACTTTTCTATTTCCCTTCATTTATTTTTATATGCTGTCAGTTAGAGATCTCCATCGAGGTATATTTTGGATGCATTTCAAATATAATACAGCTCAAATGGAAATCACTGCATTTTTCCAACTTGCTTCCTCTTCTATAATAGTTCAGTTAAGAGCATCACCATCTACCTAAGTCATTCATTTAAGTCTCCCAAACTAGAAACTAGGGTATTATTCTCAATATTAAATTTTCCTCATCCCTCATATTCACACATTCTACAAGTCTGATAGGCTTGATTTTCTATAATACTCTGGAATATACCCTTTTTTCTCTTACCTACTGCCACACATTTCACCAAAACTGATAAAATTGCCGCTTCGCGATGCTTTCTGACAACATCTCTCCTGCGTCTCCCAGTCCCCTAGTTTCCCCCTAAGGTATCATTCCACATATCTTCTATTCCTGTCTTTCCAAATGCATATTAATCACTTCAGTGGACTCCTTAGTCTCTCCCTGAGGCCCACAAAATCTACTGCTTTGAATGCCAATCTTCACACTCTGCCCTTTTCTATTTAGTCAACATTTCTATGATAAGAAACCTCTTCTGACTTGTAAAAATGCATACCTTCTGTCTTTGCTTAAGCACTCTCTCCTGTTTGGGCCTTCTCTGTTTATCTAAATCCTCTCAATAATAGCATGAAAATAATTTATTGTATACCAACAAGGGATAAGCTACTATAGTACACTATGCTAAAACTTTACATTCATTTTATGTTATAAGCACCATTTTACATTGAGGAAATTGAAGCAAATAATTTGCCCAAGATCACAATTTCAGTAAACAGCAAAACTGGGATTACAATTCAGATCTATCTCAATCCATGAACGAACATTTAAATGCTATCCCCATTACAATATGCCATTGAATTCAGGTCAAGTTGTACACTTATCCTTAAACTCCAAGATCCTTCTAGACCCCCTTCTCTCATCTCTACTTGCTGTTTTAACTAACAGTGACTGAACGTACTAAACTATTCTTTAATGTTTTAAGTTTTTCTAAATCTCATCTGAACTAGATTGTAAATTCATCGTGAACAGGGAATTAAAAGAATTTCTTAATATGCCTCTTCAAGGGCCTAGCATATCCTTACAATGGCAAATAGCTATTCCTTTTGGGGCAGGTGATAAGCATGCTTTATGCTATATCTCTATCATCCCATTTACACATGTAATCAACACTCAATATTTGCTTTACTTAAATCAGGAGCAGAGAAGATGAACTATACTTAGAGGATATAAGTGAACGTAAAATTTTCAGGCAAGCGCAAAGACCAAAAATACGTACATCTATTCCATTTTTCCTGTCCTTCTTGTGTTGGCCGTCTTTGTTTATGGACTTCACTGTACTTGTAATTACTTTAATTGGTTAGTACAACAATGTTTCTCTACATTTATGGAAATAATTAACACCGGTCTCAATATTCAAGAGATGGATTTGGGCAAATATAAAGTGCAGGTTATATACGTATATTTTCTACTTTCATATCCTCGCTTCCTTCTTATGAGGACGTATTTTCATTTTAAATAAGCTCACTGTTAGGTAATGCTGCGTTGGGCCTATTTCTGAGAATTTATTCTTCGTGGGATCTTCGGAGTTCTTTCTTCGGAAGTGTGTACCGTTGCACCTTTTAAAAATGTTTTCCATGACTCCGCAACGCCACGGACCAAAAAATACCCTAACACGGGAGCTCCACACACGGAAACGTCCGGTTCTGACAAGCGACCCTCCGGATGGAGGACCCCGCACCACGGCGGCCAGCGGTCGGTGTGTAAGCACGGCGGGCCAGAGACGGCGATCCCAGCAGGACCCGCGGCCTTCGGGGCTGGGGCCGCCACCTCAGCCCAGCGGCGGGAAACCCTAGGAAGGCTTCCGCGCGAAGGGAGCAGTTGGGACGGGCGGGAAACGAGTTCGCGAAGCACAAGGGTGCCCGGAGCCTTTCCAGGGGGGCCGGCCCCACCAGGCCGCGTGACGGACGGTGTCCCAGTGAGCGCGGTAGAGCGGGCTCATGCTTTCTCAGGGATTTAGGCCGCGCCCGGCTGGACCCCGCTTTCCGTGTTCATACAAGTGGACGTCAGAGTTTCTTATTTTTGGTGTTTTTGTTACCACAGAACTGTGTCCGTTAGGCCTGAGGAGTCGCTTGCCCCCAGGTCCTGAAATCAAGACCAAAACGGCATGCAATATATCGGGCCTCGTAACCACTTCAAATCCGAACGCGCAAGTGTCCAATACTCAGGTGCAGGCGGAGTAGAGACTAACGGCTGTGGGCAGCCCCGCCCCTTTGCCCCGCCCCTTTTAGTTCCCTCTGGTTTACTGCCACTTCCCGGGCCGCTTCCTCTTTAAGGCGGAGCCCGGTGTGGATCTCGCGAGATCCGGGTTCGCGCCGTGACCTCCATGTGGGAGCTAGAGCTCTATAAGTAAACACTCCGCGCCGCGCAGACAAGGCTTCTTCCTATTTGTGAGGCGGGGGCTGCAGCGGCGGCGGCGCCTCCGACTAGTTCCGGTTTCCTTTCCTCCTCTACTCCGCTGGGCGGGTGCGCGGTCTAGGAGTTGCGGCTGCCTGTCCGGCCCGGCGTCTGGTCGGTTTTCCTCGCTTGTGCGCGCACTCGCCCGCCGGCCGCGGAGAGCCGGAGCCACCGGGGAAGCGGCGCGGGCCGGGCGGGGCGCGGTGCCCTGAGCACAGGGGGAGACAAAGCGGAGCCAGCCCCGTCTCCCGGCGCCAAGATGTGGATCCAGGTTCGCACCATCGACGGCTCCCAGACGCGCACCATTGAGGACGTGTCTCGTAAAGCCACAATTGAGGAGCTGCGCGAGCGGGTGTGGGCGCTGTTCGACGTGCGGCCCGAGTGCCAGCGCCTCTTCTACCGGGGCAAACAGGTGAGACGCGCCCACCGCATCCCTCGGGAAGCTCGGGACGAGGGCAGCGGAGCGCCTCCGGGACGCGTGGACTGGGCAGGCCGGAAGGCTTGGGGTGCCGCGCGCGCAGAGCGCACCTGGTTCCACGTCGGGTGGGCAGCCCGCGAACCTCAATGCGGGCCTGGGCCCGCCGAGGGGGCGCACCGGGGTCCCCGCTAGCCTCGAGTGCAGGTGCCCCCCGGCGAGGCCGTAGGCAGGGGCGCGTAGAGCGCAGAGACCTTGCCGCTCTTTCTTAGCGGGGCAGCAGGCGCAGACACAGCCCGCCAGAGCGCCTGGGTTCCCGCGCTCAATGGGGTCAGGAGCCCCAGGAGGGCGGGGAGGGCAGCGGGCTGTGGAGGCCATCCCACAGTGCGGGTGGGGGGGGGGGCCCGGCGGCCCCCGCTCCCAGCAGAGTTGACCCAGCTAACGGCTCCTCGCTTCCGCGCTCCCCGGCTCTCACACAGGATAGGGGGAAACTTATATATTGCTTGCTCTGGGCACAAGAACCCTAACTCTGTCTCCTCACTATGGAAGGGATTTGTTGTAAACACCGAAGATTCGCAGGGTTTCCGGAACTTATGGCTCTCTTCCCTCACCTCTTTTTCTAGCATTGGAATCTGTCTTGGGGGAGATTAGAGACCTGGACTGAAGGAGCTATTGATGTAACCCGGGACCGTGTTTAAATTGCCCAGTATAGGCCAGAGAGGGGCTGCCCCCGGAGGAGAAAGGAGTATAAGAGACTATTTTGCTCTTTTTCCGTCTCACCTTCTAATAGTCCTCTCACTGGAGTTTTTAATATAGCAACTGGAGTATAGCCAGCGGTACAACATTTGAAGGCTGAAGGTACTTTTTGATGGTGAAGGTGTCTGGGCGTCTCTGGTAGTTGTATGGCCCGGGTCTAGCCCATTGATTTTTCCTATTCCACAGGTCTTTCATGGTCTATATACCTAGAGACCCAGACCCATCCTATTTTTCTTGTCTTTTTTTTTTTTAAATGTTAATCCACTAAAAAAGTTGGCGTCTTTCAGTTGACAGACCACAGTTTGTCTCCAATCATGTGTTTTGAAATAAACGTAGCTCTCTGATTTGGTAGTAGTCGTTTTCCTACAGCCACAAAGGGTTTGAAAAGAACCTTTTTCTATCTTTGATACGCTTACCCTTCTAAAACTGCCCAGAAATTTCAGAGTAACATGATTACACTCTGAGAAAGAGTGAGCCAGGCGATATTTTAATTTATTTTGGAATAAATGTGACAGCATCTTTGATAAGTGCTTGCAGCCAGTTTCTATTGATCCTTTAGTGCTTGATTTATAATAAAAACGTGTTCAATTTAGTTGTAAACTTTGCTTTTGAAATAATTGTATGTGTATTAAACACAATGTAGATTTATATTGCTGTGCCACCCGTGGCTGATGCTTTTCACCTTTGACCAAAATATAGAGAAGTATGTAATCAAGTCTTATGAATTTTATTTTCTAGCTAGGGACAATAATGTACATGAATTCCTGGGATACGTTGTTGACCTCAGTACCAGTGATAGAAATGAAACATATGAATGTATTCCTGAGCAACACCCCTAAAGTTTAGTTATTAAATATGCTAAAAGAAAATGTGCATGTGGATATCTTGAGGGAGAGGTAGGGATTGGGTTAAATTCAGGGTAACAAAGTAAACTTCAAGTAAACCAGGAAGCTGGTTCCACGTTCAGGGGAAAATTGTTGAGGACAACAACCATTTGTACTTCTTCCCCCAAGACAATATTACTTACTAGTTTGATTTCTTCAGCTCAGTGATAAACCAATAGGGATGAGGAATGGACCTTTGGTGCCCCATTGTGTTGGAGACAGAAGGAAGACACTGCTCCAGCTGTTTTTATTTCCTTATGAGTTTAAAAGTAGTCATGGGAGTGATTATTATCTCCATTATTCTTTCCTCTTTGGAGTCCATAGCCCGTGGACAGGGTAGTGTATCTATACCAGACAAGTACTGGATTGGTGTCAGTAGGACTGCCCCGATCCTGTAAAATGTCTTCATGCTTATTAGAAAAAGCCATCCTTTCCTCAAGATGCTTTACTGCCACATAGTGAAAAGTGTCATAAAAATAAATTTACAGTGTCTATGATGTAAATGGTAACCTTGCCTCCTCCTTCCCAACTTTGTATATTAGGTCTACTGCTTTCAATCTTCTGTGTCTATCAGAATCACTTGTGGATATTTAGTATAGATGCTCAACTCACCCCAGAATTGGAAGTAATTGGATTTAACAAGATCCCACAGGTGAAGGATAGTCAGTCTTCTACTAGTTTCTTAACTATTCCCAGTATGGTCCCTGGATCAGCAGGACCAGCAGCATTAGCTTCACCTGGGAGCCTCACACCAGACCTACTGAAGCAGAATCTATTTTAACAAGGTCCCCAGGTGATCTGTATGCAAATTAAATTTGAGAAGCAGTGTAATTGACTCCACTTTTGAGGGTCAAAATGGAGAGCAGCAATTCAAGGCTGTAAATTCTGGTTAGAGTAGGGTAACCTCATTTGGATATTCTTCTCTCGGGGGTTGTATTTGATGCACCCTGGGGATTGGGTTTTTTTCTAGGAAGTTATATTGGTGAGTCTCCAAATCTTTTGAGAATCCAGAGCTTTTCCTACTTTGGAAGGATTCTCTCCCCTCCTTTCATTCTTTCCCTTTTACCACTTAGGGATAACCTTAGAATTGATGGTAGGTGTACAGCATGAACCAGAGCTGAAGGAAAATGGAGTAGTTGCCTTTTGCCTCTGGACTGTTAGTTTTCACCTGGGATACAAAGTAAAAAAAAAGTTTGCCTACTTAAAGGGGAGAGGGAGAGAGAGAGTTATGTATTGTATATATTTTTTTCTCTCTCTGAAAGATACATGAAAGTTACTAACTTAATGCCCACCACCTACATGCTTACCACTAGCCTCTTGGAAATGACCTCCCCACTGCCTTCTCAGCCACTGCCACTTGGTGTTTGCTTCCTTGTTTTCCCTCACATCACTGTTACAATTCTTCCTGTTACCCAGAATTTCATCAACCCAATAGAAATTCAAGAGTGCAGTCTGGCAAAACAGAAAACTGTAGGACTGTTCTTGCTTCTCTAGTATTATAGATCCTGCAGCCCCATCTTCTAGAATGGCAGTTCTCAAACATTTTTCTGCTATGAGACATTGATGGATTTTGGTTACATGCCTGAAACTCATAGGTGTTTTAATTTCTAAGTGACTCAATGCCTTTCTCCCCACTCAGAGCATCATTTACGTGACAAGTAACTTTCAGTCTGCACTTGCATTAAATTTGGGAGAACTTCAGTACTTTTCAAGTAACAAATCATTCCAACATTCTTAACAAATCTTCACAGTGGCTTAGCTGTGTGCAACTTGCTATGCAATGGATAATGACTGTTTTAGGGAAATTGGATGGGTACCAATGAATTAGGGAAAGGAGTGGATAATCTGGGTAAAAGTGGCCATCATAGTAAGCATGAATAATTGCAGGAAAGGTGGTTACATGTTAATGTAAGCCTACCTTCTATTATATGGTCTCATGCAGGGGTCGGCAAACTGTGGCTTGCGAGCTGCATGCGGCTCTTTGGATACGTTCCGTCTCAAAAGTTTGCCGACCCCTGGAGAAGCCAATCCTGTCCCTCACAACAATTTAAAAATTATTTGGGAGCCATAAATATATTTTCACATAATCACCATTATGTGAATAATATCCTTTAAAAATTTTATAAATGAAACTATGATAGTTTTGTTTTCATTTTCAATTTTACTTCAGAGCCACAGTTTGTGAGCTGCAGTTTGCTGACCCCTGCCTTGATATGCTTAGTATTAACTTTCTCTCAGGCATTGCTTTTCCTTTCAAACCAAGTACCCCTTGAAGCAGCTTGTATTTACTCTGGTTGTTCACTTGACAAAAAACTAATCAAAGGGTTTGTGTATGAGAATGCCCCAAGGTTCCTTTGACTCTTGTGCCTCAAATTTCCATGGAAAAATGTTTATGGAAACACTTTGAATTTCCAGTTAGTTCACTACCTTAACAGTTATTTTCATTTTGGGGAATGCCCTATCATTTAATTTGCGTGTTCTATGCTGTTAGAGAGTTTATTTTCTACCTTAAACACTTCCATTTTTTTTATACTTGTCATAATATGCAACAGTTGTATGTTTAATCAAGCTGTGCTTTTTCAGCTGTTCCAGAATTAGTGGGTTCTGTGGGGGGTGGGGTGTGGTGAGGGTGGGGGCTCCTGGAGAATGTCAATATGAAAGTGTAAATGTATAGTTTTTTTGTTCCTTGATTTTTTTTCCCCCAGGAGTTCAGGATTAGAGGGAGTTCTTGTTGGTTTTTTTAATAAGGTAAGCAATATTAACATTGCCATTCCTGTAAGGGCTTATCTGCTTGCTGAATTTTGACAGACTCCAACTTATTTGGAATAAGCATATTAACTATCCTGTGAGATAGTGTCTACTTTAATTCCCCCACTAAGAAACTTGTGTATTTCTTGATCCCTTGTTCTGTTTAACAATTGTGAGCACCTGTAATGTGCAGGATTGTCTAGGTGTGTTCTTGGAGCACTTGAATTAAAATTACTTGTCCAGTACATCAGTAAGTTTATCATTCAAGGATAGACTTTAATTCTTTCCCTTTGGTTGACTTCTCAAACATGGTCTTATGTGACAGAGTTGTAGATGGTGACAAGTATTACATACTAAGAAGGGAAAATGAACAATTAAATTGGTAGTGTTTCTAGGGAAGTGATAGTTTTGATCTTGAAGGAACTTAGTTTTTGTATCATAGTGAAATGGCCAACTGAATTTTATAAAGAAACAAAACAGACTTAGTTTCCGGTGGCTTCCGTAACAAAGTAGTAAAGCCTAGGTGGCTTAAAACAACAGAAATTTATTGTCTTCGGGTTCTGGAAGCTATAAGTCTGAAACTCAAGGTATCAGAAGGGCCATGCTCTCTCTAACAGCTCTAGGCAAGAATCCTTTCTTGCTTCTTTTAGCTTCTAGTGTTTGCTAGCAGTCTTGGGTGTTTCTTGGCTTATAAATGCATCTCTCCAGTCACGTGGCTGTCTCTTCCCTGTGTGCCTTTACATCCTCCCTCTGTATGTCTGTCTCGGTCCAAATTTTTAACTTTTTATAGGAATACCAATCACAGTGGATTAGGACCCGCCCGTGTGACCTAGGTTTATCTTGATTACCTCTGTAAAGACCATGTTTCCAAATGTCACATTCTGAGATACCTGAGATTAGGACATCAACTATTGGGGGGTGAGGGAGGTAGGGGGCAGATGGACACAATTCAGTGTATTACAGAGACCTTGCCAAAATATGGGTAAGTTGCAAGCTAATTTATTCACTGTTCATCCTGGAAGACTTCTAATGATCCAACTTGATACCTTTATAAATGGACAAAATTAGTGAACTTTAGTCAAGTGGAATAGCATGAGCAAGAATTGTAATTATTCCTGCTTGCATTGTTTTTTCCTGCTTGATTTCTTTTTTAAATTATTGACAGTCTTGGGAAAGATAAAATGGTTAACTTAAGGTCTTTATGAACACAAGGTCATAAAACAAATCATTTTCAAAATACACTTTTTCTTTCTTGCAGTGGATTTAGTTACTATTCATTGACATAAAACTTGGTGAGAAATCTAGAGTTTTTCTGCCTACATGATGAAGCCACAACAGCAATGATAACACTTTTTATTTCAGTGGCTATTAGTGTACCCTGTAGCTAATAGGGAATTCTTAATTTATTGAAGTCCTAAGTAGATGCTGACATCAGAGGCCATAAAATAATAGGAATGATTTCAAGATCACTAATTGCTGTGCTATGAATTTTATTTTAATTTGGCTAGTGCTTTTGGGTAACTAAAGATGTAGAAAGATCATGCTTTGAGAGAAACATTTTAATCTTTTTGTCTTCTTTTTTTTCTAGTTGGAAAATGGATATACTTTATTTGATTATGATGTTGGACTGAATGATATAATTCAGCTACTAGTTCGCCCAGACCCTGATCTTCCTAGCACGTCTAAACAGACTGATGTACAGGCCAAACCTTGTTCTAATAATCCACCTAAAGGGAAGAAAACCCCAAGAGTGGGACCTTCCAGTCAGCCGTCTACATCAACTCGTGATTTTCTTATTGATCCTGGCATTGGACTATATAAGGTATGTTGTCTTCTTTGGAATATTTTAGTTGTGAGAATACAGATGTCCTCTTCAATAAGTACATGATTGCCATTCGAGCGTAAAGTTTGGACTGTTAATACTTTAAAAGTCTTTTAAAAATTGTAAAATACATAGACGGATGTATAAAATGTATATGTACAGTTTAAAGAATAGTAAAACAAACGCTGTAATTCCATCAATGCTAAGAAGTAGAATGATGCCCGTTCCTTTTTAAAGCCTCTACCTGTGTGCCCCTACCAGTACACATCTCCCTCTCTCTCCCTAAGAAGTAAATTACTAGTTCTGACTTTTAAGGATCATTTTCTTGTTTTTCTTTAGTGTTACTAATGTATGTATCTCTAAACAGTGTTTTTTGTTGTACCTATATTTGGATTTTGGAATTCTTTTTCTCAACTTTGAGAGATTCTCATGCATAGAGTCATATTTTTTTTTCACTTTAATGTTACTCGATTTTATTAACATGCCACAATGTATGTAATCTATGATTATTAGATATTTGGGCTGTTTCCATTTTCTGCTGTTTTAAACAGTTCTGCTTTGAACCTTCTATGTGTATCTTCATGCACGTGTTCAAGAATTTCTCCAGGAGTTTTTGGGTTTTTTTACCTAGAAATAGAAGTGCTGGTTGTTCACTCATAGGATACTGCCAAACTGCTCTCTACTTTGTTCCATTGGTGTGTTTGCCTATCCCTGTGCCCATACTGTTTCTAAGTACTGTAGCGCTATTTTGATACCTTCTTTTCCTCCATCTCCCATATTTAATTTTCTTTAAGGGTCTCTTGGTTTTTTAGTTTTAACATTTGCATGTAATATTTTTAGAATTAGCGTGTCAAAACTACAGATAAATAATCTGGTGGGATTTTGATGGGGCTTGTATCTATAGATCAGTTTGGAGAATTGACATATTTATAGTCTTTCATGGACATGATAGTTGCCCCTGTTAATCTAGATTTTTGACATCTTAATTACTTTTCTCTTTACATATCTTAATCTATTTCTAGTAGCTTTGTTTTTAATGCTATTATAAATGATTGTCTTTTAAAATTGCAATTTGTTTGCTAGTATATAGAAATTCAATTGAGTTACTAACCTCTGTATCCAGCAACTTTTTCAAATTCTATTTTAATAAAATTTGTGGAAATAATTAAATGACAGTTTTCCTTCATCGTTTCCTATCGTTATAATTGTTTTTTTCTTAGTTCTTATCTGTTGGGATAAATTGGGACCCAGACTCAATTTTTCAGAACATTTTCAAGGTTAAAAACTAAAAATTGGTAGATGAAGTGAATTATTTAAGAAAATGCAAAGAGAGATGATTTTGAATCTATGGAAAAATGCAAACAGATCCATAAATGTGGAAAGAATCAAGAAAACTAGCAAAGAGCTGTATCTCAAAAGTTCCTGGCCTAGGTGGTTACACTGTTGAATTGCTTTAAACCTACAAAGAATAGTTACCTACATTGGTGTTACCTACATTGATCCACAACATAAAAAAAAGGAAAGCCTTCCATTGCTTTATAAATTTAGTATAACACTGATACCAAAACATGACAAAAAGCACACCAGTATCAATACATATTGATGTAAAACCTCAGTTGTATTTAGGAAGTGTAATAAACACTTCCTAGTTAGGAAGTGTTTTAATATAATTCATCATGTTAATCCAAAGAAAACTGATCTAATCTAAAATGTTTTGTACATCTAAATACACATTTGAATCTATTTCTGATTTTTAAAAAATCTGATAAGAGAAATAGATGAATATTTTTAAACCACACACCCAGCGTCATGCTTAATGGTGGGGAAAAGCCAGAAGCATTCCCATTAAAGATGGGAGCCAGGCAAAGAAGCCAGTTAATGCTGCTGTTATTGCACATCTTTCTAGAAGTACTAGATAATACAGATAGGCAGGAGAACAACAAAGTGTAAATATTGGAGAAGGCAAAGTTGTTATGAATATCTGGAGAAGCTGAGAAAGGAAACAGCATTATGAGCAAATACTCAAGCGGCTATTTAACTTCAGTACCTTTCCTTGCTACAATCATTTATTAAGAGGAAAAAAATGCAATAATGAAACAAAATAGTCTGGGAATAAACTTAAATGATATGGGCAAGACTTATATAAATTAAAATAGTTGCTTTATGTAGTTCTCACAATTCAGACAGAATTGTTAATACTGAAAGCCCACTTGGCATACTGTTGTCTATATCACCCATTGATTTCATCCCTCTTGCATTTACCAATGCTTTCTAAGTTGATACTTGTTCACATTACTTCTTAAATAAACTTGTTATTTTCAAACAGTTTTCGATTTATAGCATAATTGGGAAGATACTATAGAGTTTCCATGTACACGATCCTACACCCAGTCTGCCCTGTTATTCAGATCTTATATTAGTATGATACATTTGTTATGATTAATAAACCATGTCTCCTTAGCTTTTACCTCATGTCCTCTTTCTGTTCAGAATCCCATCTGGGATGCCACATTACATTACATTAGTAATTTTTAATTAGTAAATACAATTTACATTAGTATTATACTAAATAATTGTCACATCTCCTTGGCTCCTCCTGGCTGTGACAGTTTCTCAGACTTTCATTGTTTTTGATGACCTTGACAGTTTTGAAGTGTACTCATCAGGTGTTTTGTAAGATGTCCTTCTGTTAGGATTCATTTGTTTTCCTCATCATTAGACTGGATTTATATATTTTGGGGAGGCAGACCACAGGAGTAAAGTTCTGTTTTCATCGTATATCTAGGGGCACATACTATCAACATTCTATTTGCTAATTATCACAAGTTTTACATCAATAGTAACTTATCACTGTTGATGTGAACCGTAGGCACCTGACTGAGGTGGTGTTTGTCAGGTTTCTACCCTTATCTCCTGCACCCTTTTCCATACTGTAGTCTTTGAGATGAAGACCCTCTTTGCAGCCCACATTTAAGGAGTGGGGAATTAAGTACTTTACTTCCTTGAGGTTTGATTGTCTACAAAAATTATTGGGAATTCTTGTACATGGGAGACTTGTCTCTTCTCCATTTATTTACATCTGTATAGATAGTTTTTCTCCTTTGTCCCTTTGGCATAACCCACATCATTGTGGGGTTTATTGTTGTTTTTTGTTAAAGCACTTTCTTTCTGGCAGTAGAAGGAGCTCCAGGCTCGTCTTGTGTATTTCCTGCTCCAGTTCTGGAATCAACAGTTTCCCCCAGGAACCTTAGTTTCCTTTCATTGGAGAATGGTATTAGAAACCAAGCTGGACTCTAGTAGATGTGTTCCTTGCTACTGGATGTCATTACTTTTAGGGCCCTCAGCTGACAGAGCAAGGAAATATACATGTATATTAACTCCTATATAGCTATATGTCCATAAATATTTATGTAACCATCTGCATTTATATTAATCTTACATGATTACTTTTTAAGTTTTTGGTTAAGGGCAACAGTTTCGAAGCTGCTACTTTTGACTTGATTTGGACAGTGAAGGTATGAATTTGTTTTCATAGGAAGGCCAATTTATGTATCTACAGATCTGAGATTAATCAAGGTTAAATAGTTGTGGTCAGTTTAAATTCTTTGTTTAGCACAGGTCCCTGCCATATCCCCTTTCCTCAATCTAATTCAGAAGAGCGTGATGAGAAATTACTTCCCTCACCACATCTTAGCTTTTTTATTTTCGTTGTTAGTGCTTTAACTACTTCTACTACCTAACTTTTTTCTTTTTTAGCATCTCTTATAATTCATGTTAATATGTAGCATAGATGTTAAGGGCTTCGGTGTTGTCATCAGACTTGGTTTCAAATTCCAATTCAACCAATTCTGAGATGTACAAATTTAGCAAGTAAATTTTACATTGTCTCCATTTAGCAACACACTTGGAACCTGGCACTAAAATTCTCAAAAGGCTGCAGTTTTTGTAAAGTAATATGTTTAATCAAAGGTGCATTTAACCTTATTAGTTGAAGAGTCTAACACAGATTTATTTCCTATTTTGATGAAGCTCAGTAATTGTCATAGGTATTTGAAATTTTGACTGGTGGCTTTTTTTCATTATAGAAGTGCTCATTTCTGGATAATTTATTCACTGAATGAATATTTGAATGTAGCATATGTTTGTACTAGGTATTAGAATTAGAGGGGTAAATCACATCATATTGCCCACTGCCTTCATGGAATTTTATTAGATATTAGCTTCTTTTTGGCTAACATGAAAACTCTTAGAAGCTGCTACTTTATTTTTTCCTCTTTTTCGTTACTTTGTTTTGTTTTGTTTTAATCTAGAAGCTGCTACTTTTTAATTGATTTGATTTTGATTTGCTTTGAATTTTGCCTGTTTTCCTTACAGCAAGACTTTTAATAGTAAGTATATTAAAATTCCATTAAGTTGTTTCTGGAACACTTTAAAAATGAGAGGCTTTTTTTTTTTTTACTTTATTTGAATTCTTGCATATGTCTCTTGCTTTGTAAGATTTTTCTTTTATAGACAGAGCTTTTTTTTTTTAGATTTTTATTGGGGAATCGGGGGAGGGGAACAGTGTTGGGGAATCAGGGAAGAGGAACCGACAAGTTGCTGTCTTTTTGTTCTTCAGTCTAGTAGTGGAGGACGTTGCTTCACTGGTCCGTGTTAGTATTATCATTGCGCTCTTCCTGGGTGAGGCAGATGGGTCGCCAGCCCCGGGACGACCGCTTACGGCGGCTCTTGGCAGCTCACGCCAGCTGCTGGCCGCTCACGCCAGCTGCCAGCCACTCATGGTAGCTTTATGATAGCCCACTGCAGCTCCACGTTGCCGGCAACCCACAGCAGCCCAGCTCCAGGTCGAGCTGTTGTTCACCATCTTAGCTGTAGAGGGCACAGTGTCACTGGCCCTCATGTGGGATCCAAACCGGGGCCTTGCTGCTCAGAGCTGGCGTCCCAAGCCAGCTTCTAACCAACGCACCACTCAGCCGGCCCGACATAGAGCTTTCTATAATTAAAATTTCTTTATGGATGAGCAAACAAATTTTTGGGCTTTTCCTTTCTTTTGCATAAAATTTTCTTTGGACCTCGTAAACAGATACAAAAAGTGAATTTTCAAATTAGCTTACTCAGAATTGGCCTAGGTAAATATTTAAACTTAATACATTAAAATGGAATTTTAATCTGAAGTTATTCAGTGCCCTCCTTCTGCCATATTTGATGCCTTTGAGCAACATTTGGCCAGTTTCAGATACCTTTTCATATGTCATAAGGAACTAAATATCACTATCACATTTGGAGAGCCTGTGGAAGATTGTACAACACAAATTGAACCACACTGACTCTAGGAAGTAATGTATTTTCTGAAACAAGGTGGACTTTTGAGACCTAAATTTATTTAAATTCTGGTTTTGGGATATGGAGCTTTGTATGACTCATAAGATCCTACTTGGAAATGACAGTTATGCTGGCCTAAGTAGTATCTGTTTAGAATGATGATACTAAGCTTTTAGGGTCTAGCTCTGTGTGTGGCACTGTTAAACTTCTTATGTGTTTTCTTATGGTCATTGTAGGAGATAAAGGAAATAGGAAAATTATCAATAATTACTAAGTAAAAAATCATGGATATCTTAGTATTTCCAGTCATTTGTCTACAGTGCAACTCTGCTGCTTGATATTTAACCTTTTTGATTATGAAACTTAATAGACAAGACAAAAAAAGGATAGAGCTTAAATATTATGAAGTCAACATCTGTAAACACCACCCAAATTGATACATAGAATAGCAGTACCCCCACTTCCCATGTGCCTTCTCTTGATTATGATTATGATTCCCTTCTCCCTAGTTGTACCTACCTACCCAAACTTCTGTGGGAATCGTTTCTTTGCTTTTTACTAACACTTATTATTACCCTTTAACAACCTCTTAAGAACCTTTAACTTGTATGTATCCCGATTTTTCCTCTTTCTGAATTTCACGGAAATGGAACCATATTGTAAGTCTCTAAAGAAAATGGTATAATGAGAGAATCATGTTCAGAGTTGGAGAAACCTTTATCAGCTTAGCTCCCACTTTCAGCTGTGTTATCTCCTGAGGGCAAGTGTATTTCACTTCTGAATCTCATTGGAAAGTAAGAATGACTTTGTATTGTAATTTTTAAAGGAGGTAATGTACATAATAGTAAACTAACATGTTTACTATGCAGAGTATGGTAGTGAGACCATACTCTGAGTTTTAATGAGTTTTAGCATTGAACTTATTGGTACTTAGTGGAAGGGAGACAGTTATTTCATTTGTGCCTAGTACAATATATGCTTGCTAGGTTGACACGGCATAAGGATTTTGTCACCTGATCTCTTAATACACTGCAAAGTATGTTATTTTATAAAGAAGCTGAGGCTGGGACAGGTTAAATAACTCGATCAAGTTTACACCTAGTAGGTGATAAAAAAGGACTTAAACCTAGGTTTATCTGCAGAGGTGGTGTGTTTTCCACAGAATATATAAAATGTTTAGAAGTATACCCAGCATACAGTACATCCTCAAATATTTGCTGTTGGCATTGTTTTATTTTTAATGATTTCTCCTTGCATTCCATACTTCAGGGTTTTTTTTAAATAAATAAATATATATATATATATCCGAAGTGCCAGAAAAATGTATATACGTGACTCATATTCATCTTTTGTTATTGGTATATATTGAGTATTACAATTTTAATAGTTTTTTCCTTTCTTAAAATGTGTATACTTTTTTTTGGCACCCTCTGGATATATGTATACATATGTGTCACATACTTGGACATGGAAAACTCTTTAAATGTGACTATATTTTTGACATAAATAAATCTAGTTCTTAAGCTTAGATTTATGTGATTAGGTTTTTTTTTTAACTTACGAATTTTCAGTTTAAACACCCTCCACCATTAAGCATTTTTTTTTTCTTTTTCTCTTTTATGATACTTTGTCATCTTTGGGATGTTGTGGGGGTGGGGGACTTGCTGCCTGAGGATAGATTACCCCTCTTTCAGGGCTAGCTCTGGAAGAGACGATAAACAACTTGTTAGCCTTCCTTTCATATACAAACTAACCAATCCTCAGAACACAACCCCAGCCACCTCATTTATCTAACTCTTACATACCAACCAGTATTCCTATGCTCTAACCTCCCAGGGTCAGGTACCAGATGACAAGAGACCTCCTTATAGCCCAGAGGCTGCCACTGTTATTGAGACTAGCCAGATAGAAACTGTTTTCCTTGCCCTGCCTTGCCTTTACGTGGAAAACGCTGTAGTCTCTGGGCCATGCTTTCTGCTTGCGTCTTCTAACTGAACCTGATGCTTCCCCCCTTTTGGTCCTGCATGGAGAGCCCCCTTCTCTTGGGAAACGTAAGTAATTCTTCATATGGCATTAGCCTCCCCATGTTGACAGTCACCTCCATAAATTAAAGTCTGGGTGCAATTGAGACACTGCCCCTGCCACCCCCTACCTAAACACACATACTCTATTTTCCTCTTATCATCCTGTGCTTTTTTTTATTGCTCTCGTCTGGCTAATTTTCAGTTCCTTTTTTTTTTTTTTAATAGACTTGACTTTTTAGATCAGTTCTAGGTTCACAGCAAAATTGAGTACCCACACACATGCATGCCTCCCTCATTATCCTCATCCCCACCAGAGAGTACAGTTGTTAGAATTGATTTTACCTACATTGACACAGCATCACCCAAAGTATAGTTTACATTGGGTTCACTCTTGGTATTGTACATTTTGTGGCTTTGGGCATATTTTTCAATTCTTAATTTCAACTGGATTGATAAATTACCATGGAAGTGTCCTCTGTTTTCATATTAATCATATTAATTTCATAATACAAATTTAAGTATTGTCTTCTGAACCATCTTCAGAACACACACTATACAAAAGAGCTTTAACCCTTACATGTAGTTTGACCCATTCAGATTTTGCTTTTGAATTTAAATACATTTTTTTCATGCAGTTTATATGCTTAATCATGAGTGGTTAATTATACTTAATAGGAAAATTTGTACTTTATAACTTGTTTCTAGTTATAAATCTAGGGTTCATCAAAGAATGCCTTACCTTTATGAGCTAGTAAGTTCTCTCTTATGTGTGATGTTTAAGCAATGGCAATATTTTCAGATTGACTTAAGTTTCTGTTAACACTAATTGTATTGCCAAATATTAAGGTATGGGGACACTAGATCTGCTTGCTGCTTTCTTATATTTATATGCAAATTAAGTATTTCATTTGCACCTCTTACTGTTCCATAAGGTTTATATTGTTAAATGTATTTTTGCTGTTACTATTTTAGTATCAACTATATACTCTATTCTCTAGAATAATTGCTGTATGAAACCTCTTATATTTTGATTTGCTATGAAAGTAGTAGCCTCAGTTTATTCTCTGAAGTGTGATAGACCTTAATTAACATAGATTGATTTTGGTTTTAGCTAGTGTTGCCTATAGGAAACGAAAAGCCTTTAAACTTGTCAGTGATTATTATGAAAGAGCCTGTGTTCATTTAATGGACACAGTTAATTTGAACAATGTATATACCATGTTCCATCTCTGATTCTTTGTTATTGTCTAGCCTTATTGATCCTTAGGTCTTTTCCTTTTCACTTAAACTCTTCATTCTTATGTTACATTGAACCTTATGTCTTTCAAGATGTTTAATTGCTACAGTGTTCACTACATGTAGCTTCTTTGGTAGAATGTTGTATGTCTTCTGATAGTGATAGTTAATAATTTTTGGTTTTGTCTGTATTCCCTCTACCTTCTATATTAGCTTGGTGGTTTGAAACCTTTTTATATTTTTAATACCTTATTTCTAAGTTCTTCGCTTAACCTTTGTTGATCCTATTTACCTATCTTGTCACCAGGCTTCATGATATAATGGTGAGAACATAAGCATCAAGGTTCAAGATGTCTTCAAATTCTAGCTTTACATTTCATTAGCTTTCACTTGGAACAAGTTAACTTGTCAGCCTTTTTTTCCTTATCTTGTAAAATAGGAATTATTAATTATTATTAATATTAATAGGTTGTTAAGAGTTAGACAATCCTAAGTAAAGGAGCCTTGCCTAAGTAAAGGCCCTTGACCTTTAGTGTAATTTCCTCATTTTTTAGGAGAGGTTTTTTTTTTCTAAACCAGCTTCTATATTATAACTCTTCTGGTATAGTCTGTTTTCCTTTAGCCAGATTGCACGGTTTAGTTCTGGATCATCTACTAGACTTGACTGCATCTGTTTTGCATCTTATAGCTCTGTTTTTTTTATAGTTTACCTTTGTTCGTTGAGGTACTAAATAATGCATTTGCTAGTGAGTTACTAATTGGTAAAACTTACCCCATTTTGTATAGATAGATGGGTTCACTAGATTCTTCCCTTTGTACTTTTGCATAATTCCTTCATTTTTGAGGTTTTTTTTTTCATTTTAAGACATTTCTGATTTTTGGTTGGACTGTGTAAATTCTCTTTGGGATTCTGAAGAAATTAACGGAACAAATTAATAACACAGTCATAACACTTTAAAGTCCTGGCTTTTTGTTAGTGACATTGAATGATTTGCAAGAATACTCGGTTACATAAGAATTATATTTTTAAAAGTCTAATGTAGATATTTCACTAGAGGAAATTTGGAAGGAAGTTAATTTTCATACTAGTAAATAACAGATTTGACAGTACAGTCCCAAAAGAATAGTTTTGATGTAATCTTTGAAATTAAACATGAGTAGCTGTAAATATTGTTAACCATAACCATAAAAATAACTTGAATTATAGGGAGGTTTTTTAAGCAATAGATGAAATTAAGCTTCGTTAACTAATTTTAAACTTTTTTTAGGTAAATGAATTGGTGGATGCCAGAGATGTCGGCCTTGGTGCTTGGTTTGAAGCACGTATACATAGTGTTACTAGAGCTTCTGATGGACATTCACGTGGCAAAACTCCACTGAAGAATGGCAGTTCTTGTAAAAGGACTAATGGAAATGTAAATCATAATTCCAAAGAGAACACAAATAAATTGGACAATGTACCCTCTACATCTAATTCAGATTCTGTTGCTGCTGCTGAAGACGTTATTTATCATATCGAGTATGATGAGTAAGTGCTCGTGCTATTGAGGACTTCATTCGTGTTTTTGTTTGTAGAAAGAAAGCCTTCCATTTCAAGATTGTTTTCAAATAGTCTTTCTGAAGAAATTGTTTAGGGGTCTGTTCAGTTTATTACTGTTTGTTTGTTTGTTTTGTTTGTTTGTTTATTTAGTAGTTGTAATATAAAAGGGCTCCTTAATGCTCAGTCACCTTTGGCTCCTAAGTCGTTTGTTATATTAAGAACTTGACTTGATTTTAACACTGAATTATCAATTTCTTTATCTATTTTCAAAATCCTACTGTAAAAGTTACTATTGGGGCAGACTTAGTATTTATTCAACACTAGATGTACTTAAGTCTTCACTCAACTGATAACTTAAAATGAATGGAAAATAATCTACCAGATCTTTATTTGAGTATAAGAGTTCAAGATCCTAAGTGGTTGTGATCCCCCCCCCCCACCACCACCACCACCACAAAGTGGTATAAAAGACTTGGTGTCAACTCAGATTTTCAGGATACTTGGAAAGGGTCAAAAGTAGATACCCTTACTACTTTGATGCTTCTTAAATGGTGTGGCTAACTTGCCAATGTGGCTTATTTCAAATGAGCCACCATCCTGGTTTTTAGAACCAACAAGTAGAATGAGTGTTAAGATCTGGGATTGGCCATGACTGACACTATTGGTAAATCGAGGCTGGGATAATTGGTGTGTTGATAGTAATCAGTCTATGGGTTTCTTAATGCCATGGCAAAGATGCAAGATACTATAGCCGGGGGGGGGGGGGGGGGGGGGAATGACAACGGCGGACTTCCGCTATCTGTATATCTGCTGTCAATAAGTAGAGCTCTTGATTTGCTTGGAGTTTTATTTCTTGGAGAATGGAAGAAACAACTCTTGTAGGAAAACTGCTACCTGGGACCTGATTCTGTACTAGTCAATAAAGGAGTTATTGTTTGGCAAAAAATATTGCACATGGTACAGCATAGATACAGGGTAAAAAGCTTTACACCACTAAAAGAACTAAGGTTTATTAAATTTTTACAGTTTAAGGAGCTCTTAGTTTTGGAGTAAAACCTTCCAAGGGATAAGCCTGATATAATACTAGAGTGCAAAATCACAGTACCTTAGTTTTATTTGGCTATTTTTTTATTTTTTATTTTTTTGGATAAAAGAGAAATTTGTCTTGATTAGAATGAATGTTAGTAAATCCAACATGCATGAGAAGAATAAAATTATTTTTTCTAAATAATTTTACATGATCGAATTAAATGTTTCAGTGTTGGTAACTTAAAGATATGATAGCTGAAATTTCTTTGAGAAATAAAAGATAACTGAAGTTAGTGGTAGGTAAATGTAATTCACATCTTTAAAAAGAGAAAAGGACTATATAAAATTAAGTATAAGATAAACAAAATAGATGAGTTTCTAGATAAAAGTCCCAAATAACAAAAGACTGGTGTAAGCACCCAGTATGGATGTAATAACAAATCCGGTTAAAGTTTCATTCTTCATTGTAATTGGAAAAGTAAGTTAAAAACTATAGTAAAGTACATGTTGATTTCAGTAAGTTATTAAACAGGTTCTTGGATGGAGGATACATTGAAGAGAGCTTTTGGAGTGTATGTCTTACACAGTAGAAATAGAGATTTTTACTGAGTAGTAAGCTCCAAGTGAGTCAGTCTAGTGGCTATCAAATAGCTATATTGTAAGGATGTTTTCTTAGAAGTAAGATATCTAGAATAAGGCCAGTGATGCTGCTGTTGTACTGGGCTGGTTCCCTACTTAGAATATTATTTTTCATCCCCTGTGCTTTAAGAAGAATACCAGCATGACCTGGTGCATCTTCAGAGTAGAATCCAAAATGTAAAAATGTGAAACCATCAAGAAGAGCTGAAAGAACTAGATATTTAGCTTGAAAAGACTTGGATCATGCTAGCTTTCATATTTTATTATTATTTTTTTATTTTATTTTTTTAAAGATTTTTATTGGGGAATTGGGAGAGGGGAACAGTGTTGGGGAATCGGGGAAAGGGAACAGACAAGTTGCTGTCCTTTTGTTCTTCAGTCTAGTTGTGGAGGACGTCGCTTCACTGGCCCATGTTGGTATTATCATTGTGCTCTTCCCGGGTGAGGCAGTTGCTCGCTGGCCACTGAACGGCTGCTCACGGCAGCTCATGAAAGCTCACGCCAGCTGCCGGCGAGCCCCACTGCAGCCTACGCCATCGCCAGCAATTCATGGCAGCCCAGCTCCAGGTCAAGCTGTTGTTCACCATCTTAGCTGTAGAGTGTGCAGCGTCACTGGCCCTCATGTGGAATCCGAACTGGGGCCCTGCTGCTCAGAGCTGGCGTCCCAAGCCAATTCTTAACCAACATGCGACTCGGCTAGCCCAAGCTTGCATATTTTAAAAGTTCTATCTAGAAGGCAGTTCTGTAAAACATAGAAGGTAAGTTTCAGGATAACGTAAACTTCCTACCAGCCAAATCTCTAAAGGTAGAGAATGGTCTGCCCTGAGAAGTAACCAATAAACAGTCATTCGCCATCTTCAACCATAGACTGGGAAAATCAGTAGAGATGTTACATTGCAAAGAGAATTTATAAAGTTAGAATGATTGAATTAGATGACTCCTAATTTCTATACAACTTTTAGTTCCAAGACAGTATTTCTTATAACTTTTTTGTACTTTAACTTAGTAAATAGGCTTTAAGTACTTATAGGCTATATCCCATTTCATTTATGATACTGATTAAGTACTATTATTTTCTTCAGTAAACTAACTTCATTTTTCTCCTACCTAGAGTAAATTGAAAGTAATCTTTGGAAGTACATTGAAAGTAAATTGAAAATTAATCTGCTTCATTAATAATCATATCTCCAAACCTCTGAGTATAACAGTGCAGTTTGAACAAGCTGTCATTTAGCCAAGGCAGGGAGGTATCATACATGGGACCAGGGAACCTGCCTAAAGAATTCTTTGGGATGTGCAGTGTTTGTTGGTTTAAAATGGCACTGTTTAAAAGCTATTTTTATAGTGGCCTTACAAGTCTAACAGGCTAGATTAATTCTCAGTCATGGAAATGAACTTTGTTAAAACAGTTGCTGGCCCAGAACAAGATAGTTACATAGGCTCTTGCATCTTCAATCCCCACTCTAGCCATAGCAGAGTTAAAAAGAAACAATTTTTAATATCTGAGGAATGTTAGGTATTACAGATTTATATTACATAATAGGTAGAGGGGTTTCAAACCCCCAAAAGGCCAAACAAGATCTAGTAGTGGACATCATTTATTTCCTAATCTTTCTTTGTTTTTCCTCTCAGAATTACAGATACAAACATTTTAAGTTCATAAAAAGCAGGCTATGTTAAGAGATTCGTTTGAAATGTTTCAAAGTTGAGTTTTACTGTTTGTAAGAGTCCCTTTTCTGTAGATTCCTAATGAACATAGACTAAATTGCTGAGGGCTTCTTGTGAGGATTTTGTAGTTTGTCAGTCGTAAGGCCCAGGTGAGGCTTGTCAACTTGGATTCACGTCTTACTGCAAATAGTATAAAGCAAACACGGAGTTAACATCAAAGTGCCTGGTACAAAGGTATTTGTGAGGTTTTCTTCCTGATTGCTATTCTATACCACTCATCTGTTGTTTTAGCAAGGGCCTTGTATTTTTAGAACTCAGCCAACCTAGTAAGTACTTGGGGAGAAAGAGTTAGCAGTAGGAATATTAAATATAGACTTTAGAGATTTAGATTCTAAACAATTCTTAAATCCACCTTAAGGTTTTTAAAAGCACCTTGTTAGCAAGCATACACAACTTGGATGTGAAGAGAGCTACCTTTTTTTCCTCCTAAAGCCATCATTACAGGGGGGAGCTTGATTGAAACCTATTTTTAGTGGTATTTTGGACAGAAGCAAAAGGGAAAGGGGATTCAGCAGTGAGCAAATGTCAAGGTAATATAGGCAGTTATAACTCATGCAGTGATTAAGTGGTCAATTAAAGAAATAAAGGGAGAAAACATCGAATTGTACCTTATCTTACAGTAAGCTTGTACTGTACACTTCCATAGCTTTCTGAAAGTTGTTTATCCCCATAAATTATCCTCTCTATAATTAAGGTATTTAGAGTTTAAAATTTTGAGGGCCTTGAACATCGAAATTCACAAACCTGTGACTGTGGTTTTATAGAGACCCTGAACCATTGTGATGAAGAGACATGATGTTAACTGAAGGGAAGAAGTAGACTTGGTAAAGGACAATCATTTTCTTAGTATTTCTAGTAGGGTTAATATGTCTGTGGTTTAGATAGTTAAATCCTGTATGCCAAACTCTGAGCTAACTTTTTATATGGATGCTCATGTAATCTTTAGCATAAATATGTTAGTTATATTAACTAGCATATGAAGAGACCAAGGCTTAGTTATCTAAGTTGTGAAAGGTCACATCTATTGGGTTGTCTGTCAAGTCATGATGCATTTTTGCAACGAAAACATAGAAAAAATACGTCATGACTTTTCCGACAACCCAGTATTAAACGATCTGACTCCAGAGTCTAAGAGTTAACCAATATGCAATATTGCTACTCAGACTAAACATGGTGTATATGTAATTGGTAGTAGCCTACACATCTGTTGCCTTCATGGTCAACCATTTTGTATGACTTCTAAAGACTTGTTTTAGACTTTGGGATTTAAAGCAGGCAGCACACATACAACTTCTGTTGAATTAAACTCTAGTTATGTAAGCAACTGTGATGACTGTATTGAATTTCTTCTTTAGTTATCACTTGGGCTGCTTTATCAGTAGATAAAAGCTAAAATCCGTATCCTACTTTTGTACTAAGAAACATCTGTTCTCAGTGGATTTGGTTTAGATTCATTCTAATTAACTAGACTAGTGGTTCTCAACCCTGGCTATACATTACCTGTCTAGGAAGCTTTAAAAAATATCAGTACATAGGATCTACCCCCTAGAACTTCTAGTATGATTGGTCTGAGGGACCTCCAGGCATTGGTA